AACTAAGGCAAACGTAGAGATAAAGAATTGGGCGGTTCCCTGGCCCGCGATCAACAGCAGAAAATTCTCCATTCCCAACTTCCGGCAACAATCGAAGATGGCGGCTCCGGAAGCCGCGTCCAAGCCGAAGACCACCGCCAAGAACGTGCCAAATCCCAGCAGAAAGGCGGAGATGTACAAATACAGCCGCTTGGTCCACTCGAAGAAGTCGCTCACTTCCGACACACCGGGCATTTCGCACTCGCCGCAAAGACGCGAAAACAATTCTTCTTTCGCTCCGTCCTTCCATTTATATCCGCCACCGTCCAATCGCCGCCTCGTTCCCCAGTCGACGGACGCGTCGAATTCCAAAGAGGTAGGGCGACGAAACCGGAGGGACGAGTAATTTTCCCCGGGAAATGATTGCGAATTAAAAGCGGCCGGAAAAGATTTTTAATTAAAACCTAGAAGAGCGTTGGATGGAAAATAACCCCGTCGTGCATTTACGCGACTTACCTTTAGACTCCGATGCATCGGGAAATATAATGTCCGTATGCAAACGAGTGTAGAATTTAGTTTCTACACCCGTTTGCCATTCTGCGCGGTTCGATGCCACCGGCCAAATGCTTTTGTCGGATTTACTCTGCGGTACCGGAAGGGTCTTTCGGAGTGTCACGTGATTATCTGTTACACTCGACTCCGCTCGCCTTCACTTACGACTCGCCCGGCCAATCGTTAACTAAATCTAATCTTACTTAATCGTCAGTGTTTCCAGCAGATTTCTTTTTCATCGGTGCCTTTTGTTTGGCATTACTTTTGAAATCCTTGCGTGTCTATGAAAACGTCGTATAAATGAAATAATTTGATTGTAGACTATAGACATATATTAAAAAGTTGTTCGTATGAAAGTAAAATATAACAATTTTTTAAGTTACGTTTTAGTGGCCGAGCGGTCTTCGTCCCCGAACACTGGGAGTTCGGTCGTGGGTTCGCGCTTGGTTGGGATGAGCTGGCAGCGTGGAGTTTTCCGGGTTTTTTCCGTGTCGATGACGCCCGAATAGGGGCCAGTTTCCATAAAAATCCTTCCGGAAGGCATTCTTTCCCCGCGCGCGGCCATCCACGAGTCTCTCGGAGTTAAAAGTGTACAGCCATAAAACTCGGTACGAACTACTAAAAAAAAGTTATGTTTTAAGTATGTTTACCAAAGGTTTTAATTGAAAATTACAAAAGACTTTTATAATTTGTTTTTTCCGAGTTTGTACTAAACGTTTTAATATTTAAAATTTTGTTTTATATTAATATAGAAAAGCATTGAAAATTCGTTAGTTTAATTTTAACTAGTAAAATAATATTTCGATGAGCTGTATCTTTATTCATCTACAACAGTGTTTTTCCACCTATTTTATCTCGCGGCACACTTTAACCCAGTGGTTCTCGACCTTTCTGAGTTTCCGAACACCATTCGTATACTTTTTATTACAGGGAGCATTAGAATCGCTATATTCAAAAATTGATAAGCAATTCCGTGTTTATTATTCTTAAGAAACAATAAATCAATAAACTTTAATATATTGAATAAAATAAACGTGGAATTGTCTACGAATATGGCAATGGGAATAAATTTGAATAAAAACTTTAAAAAAACTTTCTTTCGACGTAGGTTTGCGGAACAGTGGTTAAGAACCACTGCTTTAACCTATAATGAAATTTCCGTGGCACAAATCACGCCATTTAAAGTTGTGTTTGTAAACATTCTATCGCCGTATTATTGTCGCTTAACCTAATTGTTTTTGTCTACTTATTTTGCGAATTAAATAAAACAATATCGTTGCTTCTTAGAATAGCAGCGGGTTATAACAATAGTTATTTAAATTAATAATTTTTATTTACGTTAGAAAGGCAATTAAGATTAAGTCTTAATCTGCATTTAAAAGTGGCGCGATACAGTAAGACTCCGCTTAACGCTACCTCGATATAACGCGGTCTGCTCGAAGCCTAAAAAATCTCAAAATTTACGCCGAGTCAAATTATCGCTGCATTTTATTGATTCGCGTATAACACGATTATTTACGAACACGAAGCATCGGCAAAAGGTGTATTTTGCCGATGCTTCGTGTTTGTCGTAGCGCCGTACTTTCCTTAAATCCGTGTTTGTTTTGTGCAATTTTGGAAAAAATATAACATCGTGGATGCCATAGGCCAGCGGTCCGCAACCTTTCCGACCTCACGGACCACTAAACTCACAATTTTGAATTCCACGGACCACTCTCGCGAATTTTTTTAAACGATATAAAATCTATAACGTAATTATAACAAATTAATGCGAGCCTAAAGTTCGTTGCTGCTTGTTTGAAATAAGTTTTATAAATTCTTAGCGCTTTTCCGCCAAGGACGACAATCGCACTCGCAATATTGTTTATTTTTCATTATTTATTGAAAACAGTCGCTTTGTATTTGGTTTTAGGTTTAAATGAAAAGAACCCCAATGAGTGAAAAATGCAACTAAGCGTTTTGCCTTTCTTTCGTAATACTTCGCGTAACCACCCAAATTTTCTCGCGGACCATCGGTTGCCCACCGCTGCCGTAGGCAATATCGACTTCGCTTGGAAAGAATTAACCGATAAATGCACCAACGAAGGGTGGAAGAAGTTATGGCCGAAGGTATTCGAGAATTCTCAACGAGAAGACACTATCGCTGTATCGTTATACTACGTTCGCACACAATGCACGACTCACTTCGATCTCGATTTACCTACAAACTGGATTGTGACTGTCGCTAGTGGAACGTCGCGCTGTTCGCGCAGGCAGTCCGCTCGAGAAGAACCTGACTATTACACGCGATCATAAAACTGACGTAACTACGCGGTAAGTCGCAAACACCAACAAACAAAATGGAAGTTTCGGTTAGAAATAAATACTTTTTCTTGCCGTACATCTAATAATAGACAGATGTCGTCGTCTCTCCACATGTCTTTTTTATTTCTCTGTCGATAGCCCGACACGTGTTTCACAGCCATCTCGTAATTTCTCGCGCGCGTGGGATTGTGGGATCTCTCTTATGAGTGGATCTAGTTTCGAGAACTCTCTCCAGTCGATGGCGATTGAACCTCGTTTCAGTCGAGATTGAAACGGTCGAGAGCGTTCGCACCGCGGAACAGGCTCCGACCTTAGTCACAATCTAGATCGAAATGCTCGGTGAGAACGGGGTATTATCGACGACCACCTTCAAGAACTGGCAGAAGAAGGAATTAATGTAGAACTGGAAAATAGAGATTCTAAAAACGAAAAACCCAAAAAAATTTCTTTACAGATTTCCTTAGTAAATGTTTGGTAACGATAACCGAAATCGTCGATCAAACTACCAGATTTTGAAAGGAGTGCAAAACAAAACCGGGCGTTTTGGATGACATCTTCCGCTACCAACATTTGCTTAAGGAAAGAACAAAGCGACAAATGAAACTTTGCGACTTTACTGCAAAAAAAAAAAAAAATAATAATAATAATAAATAATTTCAGAAAAGTCAGGATCTTCGTCACTAAAATTAACTGTTAAATTAATATAGAAAAAATTAAAATTAAAATTAAATGATAACAGAATGCTGTTAAAACACTTAGCTATTCTTGGCGGCACTCAATTATTGGTGTTCGCTACACTCGGGTTTTCTTTTAGACCAGTGTTTCTCAACGGGGGCGATATCGTTCCATGTGGGCGTTTTTCCATGTTGAGGGGGCGATTAGTAACAATTTATATTTTGGAGGGAGCGAAAAACAATTTTCTGGGCGATATAGTAAAACATTATATTAAGAATAATTAGATATTTTATTCGTAATAACCTACAATAATTAAGCAAACATTATACAAGTCACTAGTCTATTCGATGCAGTACGAATTTGGCGTTAGCCTCGGCCCTCGGCATTGGAATTTTGAAGCGAAGGGGGCGATACTACGTAACGGTTTTATTGAAGAGGGCGACGATTCATTAGAGGTTGAGAAACACTGTTTTAGACCCTTCGGAGGACTACGGCCTCGCAGCCTAAAACCTGCGCGCCAACATCAAACGTAGTGGGTACTGTAGCCTTATGTACGCCGTTCAGAGGGATCCTACCAGTACAGAAACTACTGTCTATCTCCTCTCCCTCCTTCTTTTCCTCCCCTTTCCCTTACCCTCTTTTTCTGCCGGCTAAACACTTCGTGCACGGCCGATGTCTTTCTTGTATGTGTGTATTGAACAACAGATGTAATATCTTCTTGTGGTAATATATTTACGTGTTTTCGTTTTTAAACGAAAAGCAGTGGGACAACCATTTTGTTTTACGTGTACAAACGTGCGCGATATCGATGTAACTCTCATTAATAGTTTTGTTTGCGGTCTCGAGGTTGCTCCTCTCTAAGCGGGTCTAGAATTACAAGTAAGCTGTCTAAGCTAATAGCTTGGAGCCTCGAATTTCGAGGGGTCTGAAAACTTTCTACAAAAAAGAAATTGGAAGTCAAATTTTGTAATACAAATTTTTTACAGACCAATAAAATTTATTTTACTATAAAAAGTAATTTGTGAAGTAATAAAAGTAATTTGAAGAACGGTCATTTGTGTGGTATTTAAATATATTAATAACCAGTATTGTTTATATTATATTTTTAGTGATTTTTTTTCCTTTTAATATAAAACTCATCTTGATTTTTATAGGTAGGTTTTCTTAACCTTTTAGTAGGTTTTTCTTCGTTAAAGAAAGCACTAAAACGAAATTTTTAGTGTTTCCCTCTTTAAATTGTGCCTTATTTTATAATACGTTGCAAATATCTTTTAACAACGAAACTTTTTTAAATTAAGGGTAACTGGCCCCTATTCAGGCGTTACAGACGTGGAAAAAACCCGGAGCCCGCGTCCTAAGCGAGGCGCGAACTCACAGCGTTCGGGAACGGAACCGCTTGGCCACCGGAAGGATCTGGAAATTAATTTAAATGATTTTTTCGTTAGTTATTGAAATACACTAGAAAAATGCACCTTTCGGTGTCCAATCACTGAAGGAGGTTATGAATTATTTATTCTTTATGCCATTTCCACTGTAGGATTTTTTACCAGAAATATCTTTCGGGAAATTTATTTAGTGCCGATGATCGAGAAGAACGGTCATTGTTGACAAATGGTTTCGTCTACGTTGTCGACGATCCACTGACGATGATACAACAGATCGGTGAATACTTCCGCGAAACTGTTATCCACCGTGCAGTTCTCGTAAAATCCTATCGACTCCAACCCGATGGCCGTGTACGAGTTGCCGTTTCTCGTTACCAAAGGTCCTCCCGAATCGCCCTGAAACGAAGAAGAAATCCAATTTTCAATTCTATTACTGTATTTGAAACGGAATTCCGTTTCTAACATTTTTACATTTTTACTTGCCGTCATTTACTCAAGAAAAATTTTTTGATGAAAATTTGTGATTAAGTGTATGTTCCAACGTAACAGCTCATGAAGGATAAATTGTATTTTTTATAGGCTAATCTGGCGGATTTGTCATAAATTTATGCATTCGAATTTCCTAAAAAACAGCTTCTACTGTACTATTTTAGATACGGTTTTATTGCGTTTTAGTAGGATATGCCATGAAATGCACATTAAGAAAGGATTTTTGGAAATTCAACTCTCCGAGGAAAAGGGGAAGAGAGTTTTAGTCAATATAAAGTGTAAATAATAAAGAAGAAAAGTAAATACAGCCGACCCCTATAACACTGTTGATAATTCCGTTTTATATGAATTCCATGTTGTACGAGTCATTTAGATTTTACAAATATGTAAGACGTTCACAGCCCGGCACATGTATTATAGGGTGGTCGACTGTCGTGGCACATATAGTATACATTTTAGCAATTAATAAATATTTCAATCATTTCCGCTCTTCGGGTAACCCAAAAACAATAAATCCAAATTACGAATTCGAACGAATATTTGAATTCGTTCCAAATTCGAAATTTAATGTTCCAAACAATTTTTTTTTAGATTTTAGAATTTAAAATTAATCATTTTATTCGAGTAAGTTTATCATCGAGTAAGTTAATTCTCCGTTATAATGAGAATTAACTTACTTGCCGGAGCATCTCCTAGTATTATATAACTTTTATAAACTTTTCTTAGCCGCAGTCAGTAAGAGGGCCTTTCTCGTAGCCATCGTGGACAAGGGCGTACCCGCCCCCAGCGGCGGAACGGTCTACATTCCCCGAATACTGGGAGTTCGGTCGTGGATTCGCGCCTGGCACGGACGGACTGGCCACGTGGAGTTTTTTCCACTTGGTCACCCAGTTTTCTCCACTTCTGCAACGCCTAAATAAGGGCCAGTTTCCCTTAAAAGACCTCTCTGAAGACATCCCTAGGCAGATCGACCATGTGTTGCGTTGCTATAACAAACGAGGGCGTACCCAGAGAGGGACGGGGGCAGCTGACCCCTCGAAGAAAAATTAAAGTGTAATAATCGACATACAGCACGGACCTTTCCCTCCCCACTTCATCGAAAGTAATACGAGTTGCCCCCTCTAGGTCAGATCCCGAGTACGCCGCTGAACGTGGATTGTCGGCAGGATGGTCGACACGGTTATAGAGTCAGCCTACCTCCTTGGGGACCAGATATGGAACCTGGGCGGGCAAAAAACGCCGAGAAATTTTTAGTGAACTATCTGTCCCGGATACGTCGGACGCCGTCTCTCTTTATCCGGCCACCTTATTGTTGACCCGGCCGAATTCTTATTACGCCTGGAAAAAGACCCACTTACGGTCCTCGGAGCGGAAAGCACCCAAAATAAAAAAGCCATTCGACCAGGCCGGCAGCGAGAGAGGCTGGGTGTCGAGAAACTAAGTCCGACGTATTCGGATCAATCATTCATAAAAGTATGGAAACCGACATCTCCAGAGCGACAGACTGGTCATTTTATCATCTGGAGATTACGCCCTTCGAATATTAATTGTTCATTTATGAATATCTGTCCGTTTTCATAAATAGGCGGTCGCGTAATATTCGATTCCATTTTGTCAGTCATTTATTTTGCACATTTTTCTTTTCTTACGCCTTAGTTTTCGATTTTTCTGCAAATCATTTTTAATACAAGATTTTAAATAAGGAGCCGTTTCGTTGGCTTTTTTCGTATACCGTATCGAGAAATCAGAATTTAAAGAAAGAATGTTAATGTCAATTCGCATTTTAAAGCTTAATCTATCAAATTCTCTAACATCTTATTTGCCGAGAAAAACTGTAATCCTTCACCAATGTTCTGGAAGCCTTCCCGAAGTGTAAAATACACGTTATTCGTTGCAAATCGAACATTCTCGAAACAAACGTTTTAAAACATTTGGAACAATCTTTAGATACAAATCCTGGAACGTATGGCCAATTTAAATTGCGTAAGCGAACGTATTGCAAAAACACAACTTTTAACTCGGCAAATGAGGTGTTGGAAAGTTTGCTATTTTCTCGCTAAGGATGATTTTCGCTTATTCTAACATTTTGATTGTCCGTCGTTACGTTAATAGTCGATTGAAATAACGAATACAGTAATTATGCTTAATAAAAATAACGATATTAGCGCTGATTGGAAAAAATTGGAAAATGAAAAATTATAAGCCAATAGTTTTCCAGTGGTAAGCGGAGATTAAACGATAAAAATATTCAAAGATTTTCTTACTTCGCACACTCCTTCGCTTCCGGAATTTTTAATACAGACGGTTCCGTCCCATAAGGTATAATTGAAAAAAGCGAACATGTCCGAGCAATCTCCGTGATCGAAAATATATCCTTCTTCGGTCACTTTCAGAATTCTGGTTACTTCCGCGGCTAAATAAATAATAAACATTTAATTTTTGTTTATCTCTTTAGTGCGCGTAAAGAAGTAATGCGCTTACTTTCGTTAGAGAATCTTCCCCATCCCATCTGCAATACGGGAGTATTCCCTCGATAGTAGTTTCGATCGTTAGCCAAGCAGATCCTATCGATGTTTCGGTCGAAGACTACGGGAGAAGTTAACTTCAGGAGAGCGATGTCCCCGTGGTAGGTCAGGTTACTGTAATCCGGATGCACCCGGGACGATCGAAATCGATATTCTTGGCCCTCTTCTCGATCCACCGTTCCTATTTTTGCCCACATCTCTTCCAACGGCCTACAAAATTTACAAAGATAGAGAGAGCTGTTTAACAGTTATCGTTCTATCCCAAAAGGTGTTCTCGCGGTTCGATTATCGTCGAACAACTAGAAGCAGAAAGTTAGTCAGTCGAACGTAAACTGAACGGGTCGGCCCGATTTCAATTAAGCGAAGAGAATTGGGTGGAGTTTAACTTTTGCTGTATAACCGCAATAGAAATTAAGAATAAAATCACATTCGTTCGAATGATATAATACGTAATCCGGAATTGTAAAAATTCGAAGAAAAGCGAAATCCGGTACGGACGATATTTGCCTACCGAAATTATCTTGGTTTAAGGAATTAGATAAGTTATTCAATAACGCTGCACTATTAGACGCATTACATCAAATTTGGTGTCTTTTTCTCTTAAATTTTAATATGTCTAAGACAAACTAACCGTACCTGTAAAAATTTTATTATACTTATATTTTTCAAGAAGATAACAGCATAAATTACAATAATTGTTATTAATTTATTTATGATGCGTGGCAGTTAATTGTCGCGTATTGCTCCTGTCCTCAAAAATAATCCACATTCTTTTTACGTTTATTCGATGCTTTTCTGGTATACTTTCTGGTTTACTATTCTCCTTAGAATTCACTGTTTCTAAAGCTCTAGTCGTCTCTAACTCGGGTTCTTCGAGAACCCAGTACAATTCACCCGTCAGTAAAATTCTCAATATCATTCGCACTAAGACACGTATACGTTGACCTAGCGATTATTCCTAACCAGTTAGAGTGCGGGCTGTTTTAATAATTGCCTATTTTACGAAATATAAGACGTAACTTTTATCTAACAAGTAAAGCGGACTCAAAAATCTTATATGTGAAATGGCAATCTCCCATAGACTATTTAATTTCCTAAGTTCTTAGCGGGCTACGAATTACCTCTACTTAGCCCAACTCGAATAAAAATGTTATTGCTTAATTAAACACATTATTATTATTATTTACTGTAGCTAAACAATTTCGCGTATGTTGGCGTAGAAACTTCTAATAGTAAATTTTAATAGTAAATTACTTCGCACTCTTCTTTTTCCCTAATAAATAACTAACAAATAAGTATTGTAATTTTATTTTTTTAAACCAGAATTTATATTAGTATTTTTCCGGGATGTTAGTTGCAATCGTTAAGAAGGCCTTTTTCATACCCATAGTTTCATACCCGGCCGGATAGTCAACGCGGTTAAGGAGTCAATCTACCGTTCCGGGGGGACTCGGGACGGAATCCGGGCGAGAGGAAAGAAAATGGAGAACGAAATGACTGTTTTTGTTGATAATACGAGGATGTATAAGATATGAAATAAAATGCGAAAGGAGGCGGTATTCGTAAAGCGAAACACGGGTTTTGGTACGTCGAGAAACGAAAAAGAAACCAGAGTGTATCGAAAAGTAATCCACGGTCATAATTTTTTGATGATGGGTAAATTGAGTCAATAGTGGTTTGGGATTTATTATCGGGTCGTTGCTAAATTCGGCAGTGCTGCAGCCGCTGCGGGAAGCCTGAAGCGAAATTATTGCTAATTACATTGTCGCGTTGCGCCGCGTGTAAAGCGAACGGTTTGAGTGTATAATTATTATGCCTTTTTGTCCTTTTTAACTATTTATAATTTATTTTGTATACTAGTACTTTCTATATATTAACAGGACTTATTATACTGGAAATATAATATTTCCAGTATATTAACAGGACTTATTATACTGGAAATATAATATTTCCAGTATAATAAGTCCTGTTAATATATAGAAAGTACTAGTATACAAAATAAATTATAAATGGTTTGAGTGTATAATTTACAGCGGCATGGGTTTATCGAGATGGCTGCGCTTATAGATGGACTCGTAAACTTTGATAATTCTTGATTATAATGTTATTTTCAATCTGTTAAATAATAAAAAAATAAATAATATCATAAAGTACTCAGCAAATCACTATACATATAACTAACACCTTATTCTTGCCGAGAAATATAATTTATTTGAAACAAACAAACGTTTTCAGCCTGATTCACAGGCCATCCTCAGGTTTAGAACACATTTGAATTAAAAGATTCCATCAATGGAATACAAAATTCAAAATTAAATAAGATAAAATTGAAATAAATTAAAGTATTAAATAACCAACAGAGTAACATAAAACAAAAATAAAAAATAAAAAAAATACTTCTATATACATTTTTTACATTTTTTTATTTTTTATTTTTGTTTTATGTTACTCTGTTGGTTATTTAATACTTTAATTTATTTCAATTTTATCTTATTTAATTTTGAATTTTGTATTCCATTGATGGAATCTTTTAATTCAAATGTGTTCTAAACCTGAGGATGGCCTGTGAATCAGGCTGAAAACGTTTGTTTGTTTCAAATAAATTATATTTCTCGGCAAGAATAAGGTGTTAGTTATATGTATAAAAAATAAATACATAAAAATTAAAAAATTTAAATTTAAATGATAACTACTCGTATTAAGTTTAATCGAGCATTAAAATAATTTTGCATTCTAGTAAAATATCATTATCTTTCGTCCAGGAACTTTGGCAAAAGAGTACGTTTAAATCATTTAACATTAAATATCTCGCGGAACAGTGAGATTATAGCCGACTGAACAGACGCCACGTTGTTTCGTCATAGCTGTTGTAAAATTACTACTCGCGTGCGTGCAGCTTCCCCATAAGCACCGCTGAATTTAGCAACGAGCGCTTTGATTCTTCGTACACGCATCCGCCTAGTGGCGATTTTCAGCAACATCGCGTTTGCGCCCTGCGAATCCTAAAATGGTTAAAGCCATGAGTCGCTGTCGAATTTCTTACTGCGGAGAGTTTGGCTCCGATCCACGTCCATCGATGTTCGCGTGCCATATGCGCGAATGCGTGCATCGACGTCGATACAGTTAGGAGATAGGTAAGGGCTGCGAAAGAAGAGAATCCTGTTGTAACGAACTTGAAAGATCAACGCAGTGGAAGACCAGTATCTGCGTATGGCCGGGCGGGTCACTCTCGTTGATGAATTGATTCGTGAGAATCGATGATGCGAGCGGACGGATTTCTGCAGATTTTCGGCATTTCGCAGGAAAAAATACATCGCTTTATCCGGAATATTCTGTAATATAGGAAGGTCTGCACTCGTTGAGTGCCCCGACAGTTTACTAATAAAATGAAAGACTAGAGAAAGAAAATTTGTCAACAGTTCTTGGCTCTTTGACACACAGAAAATAATGTTTTTCTCTATATAATTGTGTCAGGCGATATTCGTGTAAAAGTTGAACGGATCCTGGCCTCATCGGGATTCGTTCGACTTTTACAAAGACGAATTTGCGTAACTCGTCGCGCGTTGGCATAAGTGTGTCGTTGTAACTGGGAACTATGTGGAAAAGTGATTATATCCGTTCACACTTATATTTCTGAAATAGGTCTATTAATTAATATAAAGTTATGATCGAGGAGGCATAACTTTTTAATATACCCTCGTAGGTTTAAAAACAATAAGGAGTGTATTTGATAAGGATTCGACGGACGAAGAGTATTATGTAGGATTGAGAAGGAATTTAGGAGAGAGATTAAGTGAATATAAGAGAGATGTAGTTAGAGGTAACTCGAGCACGAGTGCGGTGCGAGAAATTTATGGTAAGAATGCGAAAGTATCATAGATTGAAACGAAGTTAATTTACAAAGAGAATGTGTAAGAATGTTACAACTGTGGGTATTTATTATATTACTCTTAGGTCTGGGAAGAAATGTTATAAATAGGAATAACGCTAGTGGGATGTCGGAAGTTTGGAAGTGAGAAATCGATAACTTAGAAGAAAGACAGCGATAATAAAAGTTAAGGATTAAAAGGAAAATATAAAGATGATGATAAGGGGAGAACGGTGGCAATTGAAAAAAATATGGCTCGGTTGAGAGTACTGTACGTTGGTTAAAATTGAAAGAACGGTGCGATTTAAAATGGAGAAGAATGATACCGTTGAAACATCGGAAATCGTTTAAAAGGACGAACGAAAACAAATTTAATGCATTTTTCTTAATAAGTTAAAACGAGAAAACAAGCGATTAGTCAACTTAAGATTGCAATAGTCTTTCGATGGTTGTTGTCCGGTACAACGATAGCTAAACTGCCAGAACGTTCCTACGTAGTTATTAAAGATCGGAGTACATAGTGCAAAATTTTACGTGGAGTTTATTTATTTGCATTTCTGCCAAGGCGGACAAATGTTAGCTTTCCACCAATCGCTGCCGCTCAACGAGACGAACATTGCGATTCGCAAGTTGTCGCCGTGGGATACGAACCGTTCCCACACGTAGTAGAAAATAGTGCCATTCTCGCCAAATCGATCCCCATCGACAGGAATTTCATTTCTTTTTTTTCATTTTTAGATTTTCAATGGCAAAGGCCAGGAAAATTATTTTAAATTATTCGGTTCCAAATGACTTAAAGTTAATTTATTTTAGAGCTATGACAAATAGAGAAAAATGAATAACCTGATCATGCAATGAGCCGCAGTCAACACGTAGGACGGAGAAATCAGGAACCCGCTACAATTCAGTTCATCGGTCAATCTGATGAATACCTATTATTAGTGTAATAAAAATATCATTTAAGAATTTTTAAAATATATTTGTGGCTTAAAAGAAAATCAAAGTTAAATACCATCCAAGGAAATTCTCCCGGATTGGCGAATCTTCCTCCGAATATTCTTTTCTCGTCTTGTACTTTTAAAAAACGTTCTCGTTATTTCTCGAATGCGTGGTTTGTATTGTACAGTACGTCTTCGTACAAAATTACTTACCTGCCGAGAGATCGACGCATATCTGAAAAGAAATATACATTATATATAATAAACATCTTAACGCCCGACGATTATAAATAGATACAGTTGTTTAATAGATACAACAACGATGGCCCGAATAATCGGGCTAGAATTCTAGCCGGATTATTCGGGCCGTCGTTGTTGTATCTATACATAGTTTATTTAGCTTTGGTGTCGCTTACGAATTTAAGCTAACGGAATGGCCGAGCGGTTAAGACGTCGGCCTATGGCTCCGACGACCCCCGATCGAATCCGGGCAACGTGTCCTTTGCCACCCGGTGGTCGTCACGGTAGGCTCGGCCGAACCCGCGATGGACGGGGCAAGAAAACGTCCTTTTAGTGTCCACGGGCCAGAAAGAATAACACAAAAAACGGTTATTTTAAAATTCAGTGTCAAAGAAACGCGTTTCTGTATATTAATTTCTAAAGTTATTCTTTTACTAGCGGATGAGCCCGGCGTTGCTCGGGCAAAAAATAACAACGAACATTAAGATTACAGTATTAGTTATGTTCCAGAACATTCCACAACATTCGAGAATGCTCCACAATGATCTGGGATGTTCCCGAACGTTCCAGAACATTCTGGAATGCTGTCGAATACTCTCGAATGTTCTAGAAATTTCTAGAGGGCGAAACTTCCAGCCCTTATATCTTCAACAGCACGCCCTTCGGGTAAAAACGGGAACCTTCTTCGTGGATGGGGGATAGAGGGCTACCACACCGTATAACTCCCTCGATCGTACCGGGACTCGTTTTGAGTTTTAGCGGCACGCACATTGTACGCTTACCTTTATTATATATATTGATATTAATTGATGATTATAAAAAGTACAAGCGACACGTTCGATCCTCGCAAATTATTCGTTACTCGTGACCAATAAATTGAAAGTTTTACCCGACCCCATTATTTATAACAAAACATTTTATAATAGTAAACATTATTAGAAAGTCGAGTTGGAATTACCAGAAGAGAGAAGAAAGTTAGGACGAATGCCGAAGACATGGCGCCAGGAAATACTAGAAGCAATCTCCGTCTACGGAACGCTTTTATCCGCTTTTGGTTCGGGCATTAAATCGTAACGAGCGCACTTACCTCCGGTTTTATAAACGATACGCAGCTGCGTCCGTCTTCTCGGCATTTCTATGGGGGTATTTAACGGAGTAATAAAAACGTTTTGTCGTAAATACGATATGAAATTAAGAAAAACATTTTTGCCAAAAGCTTTTTACGACTGGCATTAAAATATATTCACTCAATTTACAAAAGACAGTCGATCGAGAGAATTTTACTTCTTCAAGTTTTAGAATTATTAAATTTTACATTAAGTCAAAATCGGAAGTAGATCGATATTCGCTCCATGGAGATCTCGTCGTTTTAGAAAAATAATAAATGTAAGAATTTAAGCATTCGTCTATAGACGACTGCTTAAATTCTTTGTTCGCTAAATATAAAATGAACCGTTTTAAATGCTGCTACTGTATTCGCTACGGCGGTACATATACAGTACTAAAATTGACGGCCGGATGGCCGAGCGGTCGAGGTGGCAGCTACCGCTCTGGGGAATCCGGGATCGAATCCGGACGGGTCAAGAAATCTCCAGAAAATTTTCGGGGGTGGTCCGTTCGGATATGTCGGGCCCGTCCCTCACCACCCGGTCGCTCCATTGTGGGCCTGGCCGATGGCCGAATCCATAATGGGCCCGCTATAAAAGGCCCTCTTAGTGCCCGCAGGGCGGAAAGAGTTTAAAAAAAGAAAGGTCGTGGTCATGGACACCTCGATTGTTCAATTCGTTTCTTTTTTACGTACAAAATTAATACACATAGTAAAATTAAAACAAAATTATTGATATTTTTACACATACATAGAGTAAATTCATTTATTGTATATAAATTTTATAATTGTACATTGGAGTGTAAGGATGATCGGGAAGTCGAAAATGGCTCCCCCGAAATAACGGCACGCCGGATTACGCCGCCACCGTTGCATTATGTTTCCACCATCCCGGAAATCATAATTTGGCGCACAGGTGTATATTCGAGTCTAACATTTTTGGTTTTATGAATTTTTGTAGGATGCGTATTTTTTGAATTATTTCAGTAGATTAATTAAACTGGATCATCCTGTATGTGTGTAAAAATGGTATATGTAATTCATTAAGAGAACTCCGTCGACTACAATGGACTCCTAGATATAGCTTCGTAAAAACATAATTATAACGATATATACGAATATTATATGGTTTCGATAAGTCTACAGAAAAATAAATGAAATTTAATTGTTTTTAATTATTTGAAAACATTGCGAATTGGTAACCCGACAAAGCTGGCAACACTCAAGGTGAAGAGTGCGGTTGTCACGTTGTCGGTGTTTATTTGTGACATGTGTGTAATCTAAACACGTGTAATTTTTTACACAGAAATTGGGAAATGTAAGTAATGTTTTATCAGTTTTCTTGTCGAATAAGCAACTGTAGGAACATTAAATGAAAATTACGTATTTGGTAATAGAGTAACACTCAAATCAAAGTAACTGTTAGAAGTGATTGTCGACTTGGTTGAAGTTTACCTTGGTAGTTCCAATGGCCGCGCTTCGGTTAGCTTAGGTTAACTCAGAGTCGGTAGATTAACTGGTCTTTCGACTTCCTATCTTCGCTCATTGCTAGAATCAACTAGAGACAAATGTTACCACCAGGGGCACTGCAATCACTACAAGACCGCTACATCGAATCCCTGTGAGGTCGAATGTTTTCTTTTTATTGAAAGATATATAACCTTCGAGTTCGATTTCATAATTTTTATATGCATTTTATTATAAGAATGAAAAAGCTTTTATTTAAACCCAAAACCAGGTTTATGGATAAATAAATGACACTTAATAAAACATTAAACACCTTCTATCGCTGAGAAATGTTTATTTAATAAAACACTAACATTTTCAGCCTCATGGAATAAACTATCCTCAGGTGTAAATGAGTTCGAACGTATTTTATTAAATAAACATTTCTCAGCGATGGAAGGTGTTTAATGCTTTATTAAGTGTTTTAAAAACGCTGATTTTATATTTAGTTAAATAAATGACAAGGAACAAAACTGACACAATAGTATTATTATTATTAAATTGTGCTATTATGTGAATTTATTATACGTTAAAAATTTATTGTACATACAAACAAATTATATTATACATATTAATAATAATTATTATTTTTATTATTTGCGTTATTAAAATTTACTTTAAGTGAGAAATTTTTCTATGGTTTTTACTTTCAACTGATGAAATAAATGATTGATTAATCGTTCGCGTGAAAAAATGCAATCGACAAGTAACAAAAAAGTGCAAAAATCTGGAAGTCAAGTAGGACTTGTGACCAGCATTGTCACATCCTATCATCAATGTAACAGAGCACTGATTTAATATATTATCCATTATTGAAAAATAAACATCCATGTTTGGGTTTGTTAATTTTTCGCATACTTTGCTTTCTGCCCAGTACATCAATTGGCAAAGCTTATAGCTTGGATATAACAAACCTCCTCGAGATTTGATGAATGTAAATGTCTTCTCTGGTGCAGCATCCTCAGGTTTTGCTGTTAATATATTTTTGCATTCATCACAACCGAGTGATGGCAGTAGACGATAAATAATATAACCTCCTAAATAATGTAGGATAAACTTAAATGTTTCTGGTGTACAATAATCATGATCTAATAATTCACTATCACTAGGATCTCCATAGTATAAACTTGGATCACAAAGCAAATTTTCTAAATGTTCTTCCAATTGTTCTTGAACTTCTCTGAATGGTTTTTTATGACTATGAAGAAGATTTTTTAAAGTAATAAGCATAGATCCTGGATCAGTTTGAACTGATGCTCGTTTGGGAGGACGAACCAAACTGTAAACAGTCATCAGTCTGTACAGGTATAAGAACTGTACTGTTGTGGGATGAGAATTGCTTCCACTTCCTTGTCTTATCATTCCAAAGAAACGCTAATTGAAAAGAAAACATAAGTTAAGGTTTAATACAAGATTATATAATCATTACACTAAGTCAATTTTACCTCTAATGGGTCCTGATTAAAGTGAGCTGTCAGGATATAATATGAGTTTGGAAGCAATTGTCTGACGAGTGCTAAGATACTAGTCAGCGTCAAGCGTAGATTTTCTGCTGTCTGGTGGCTCAAAAATCCCTTTTGATCAGTGCTTCTAATCTGTAATCTGAATGCTTCCCATCTATTTAACCATTCTAGAGATTCTTCAATAACCTATTTTTAAAAAGTTGTTAATTAAAACATTTATAGTTTTTGCTAGTGAATCATTACTATTACCTTGAGATCATTTGAATCATGTCTGATTCCTTCCTGTGGCAATCTACGATTTAAAGCATCAAAAAGAGCATTGATGTGACGTATGAAACTTATTGTAACATCTGCATTCTTTAGGATAGCAACCTCACGCTGTTTATAAAACAGCATAGCATCAGCAAAAGTATTACTAAATATCTATAAATATATGAGATAAATAAAAGTATTCTTATCAAGTCAAGATTATATAAGTAAAAAAAAGTGTTACTTGAGCTGCCAGCAATACACTCATTCTCTGGAAGTTATTGGGATTAACATGTATTTCTGTCACTTTGGGACATGCCTTTAATCCCTTTGGTAATTTGGAATCTTCATCAACAACTGCTTTAAAATGCTGTAATTCTACCCTTCCTTCAGGAAACTAAAAGTAAAAATGCAGAATAATGCAATGGCTTATATTATAAATTAGGTGAAAACACTTTATTTTCTTAGTTTTACCTGAAAGTATGTATTTTTCAAAAGATTGTTTCGCATACATTTTAAAATATGTGGTACATCAATAATAGCCAGTACTTGTCTATCTGCAGCAGGGTTTGTAAATGAGCATTGTATATTATTTGTGTCTGCACAAATTCCTAGAGCTTTTAAAGCTGCTTTGTTTGTGCTGGCACCATCACAAACTATTGCATTGACTATTGCACCACACTGTTCTAAATGAATAATTGCTTGCAAAATAAGTTTTGCAACAGTAGAACCTGGGACAGAGCTTTTTGAACAGAATGTGCCAATACATTGTACCCAACTAGCAAAGTGAGGTCTGAACATAAACACTAGGCCATGATCACCTGCTGTAAATTCACTCTGTGGCAATTCAGAATTGTCACCATAATCAACAAGTCCAATCATTTCACCAGTAGCTTTTGAAAGTTCTATATGTTTTTGAAGTGTGATTTCATCAAAAATTAAAACTCCCTGGCGTTCTGTTTGTGGAATTGTCTCCAATTTTGTCTTTAAAATAACAAAAAGATCTTCATCAAATCCAAATTTGGCATTAATGCCTCTGATATATTGATGCAGTGTAGACTGACAGGGTAAAGGCAAGTAATCATTATTTCTCAAAAATTCATAGAGAGATGGTGACCTAATTTTTAAAAGTAAACAGTCAAGTAACCAATTAATGTCATATCTCATACCCTTTTTGCTTTTTATATGGCATGCTTTCAGCATGTGCTCTATTATAAGTTTCTGTCTTGGTGGTAAGGAATCAAGTTTATCAGCTGACAACTGTTTCATTTTAAGTTCAGTATTTTCTTGATGAAGCTTGAGATTTTCTGTTTGAAGGGTTTTCAGTTTCTTCCTATAGATCATCTTTTGCTTTCTGCACCGATATAAATCCTCTTTGACTTTTAACAATTCAGACTGCAAAGCAGAGATTTTATTGACATATAACAGCTCAGGATGCTGTGTAGTTGCTGCTTCAGATGTGGAGGGTTCTTCTACTTCCTTTTCTACAGTTGTTACTTGGGAGTGTGTATCATGCAAATCTAATGATTGATAAAAAAAAATATCAGACAATTAATCTTAAAGTATTTATAAGGAAAGATGGGCCACAGAGAGATAACCCTCAGTGAATCACAGTGGATCTCACAAACCCAGCTCAATCTTTACTTAATTTTTAAATATAAAATGTTCCTTAAATATAGATAAAATAGATAGATAGATAAAATTTAATTTTATATTAAAACACAGGGTCCGAGAGACGCACTGCAACTCAGGCAAGGGCAAAAAATTACATGACTCACTGAGGATTAAGATTACATAAAAACCATAAATAGTTACCTTTGGTATTGTCTTTTTGTGATCCCTTCCTAGATGGTTCTTCATTTCTTGTGAGACATCGCGTTGATCGTTTTTGAGGTACAGACCTACTAATGTACTTAGGACAATTAGGGAAGTTTGATGGATATGCATCCGACGTTAATGCCCAGCGATCTCGTGGAATTTCTACTTTCTCTCCATTTATAACATGAGAGAAGGTTTTTAAAATAAATCTACTCGCAAAATGTACGTCACAAACGTAACATTTATTTGTTAGCATCTTGTCGTCTCGTGGAATGCATCGCATCCACTCCTCAATCTTATCGCTAGGAGCACGGAAGAAATGTCTCTTCTCGTTCGATGACTTATATCCTGCCTTGCATCCTGGCACAAAGCACGTTGGCATTTTTATGGAGCTAAAAAAACAATTATTATAGGTCAAAATCACTGACTTCAGTATATACCTAGCAAGAACAACGATCTCCTGCTAACAGTGGCGCCGACTAGCGGCAAATATTGTCTCTAGCTAAGTTTTAAGTATTAGTCGAAAGACCAGTTAATCTACCGACTCTGGGTTAACTACATTTTTAGTAGGCATAAAAAAGGAATACCTAAAAAGAAAAAAAGGAAACGTATACTAAAAATGTAGTTAACATAACCTAAGCTAATCGAAGCGCAACCATTGGGATTACCAGGGTAAACTTCAACCGTTGACTTAATTCGGTCGATGTGTGTGTGAAATAAATGGAGGGGATCTTTCCACAATACGTGAACATCGAATAGTGTAAACATGATAAGAATTCAATAGTTATACTGTACTAAATCCTGGGTAGAAGTTACTTTGGCAAATATGGTTTATCGGATTATCTACGATACAGTTCTCGTGCACGGTGTTAATGAAAGGTCCTTATTAATTATTCAAATATTTAAAATTTTTAAATTAGCTTCCTTTTGGATTTTTTTGGATCCGCTAATAATGATATGTAGAACTGATAAGATGTGTAAAAGGGAGGAGAACCAAATATTAACAATTCTCTGGATGATATTGTCGATTGGATGAGGGAGCGTAATGCGGCGATTCCGAGTGCTCTCTTATTGGACTCGTCTGTATTACGAGGAGCTTTTGGAACAGTCTAGTAAATAATATCCTGATTGATGTTAATGAGTTTGTAAAGTGTTTTAGGAGATTTTTCTTTTTTAAACTCCTGGATTTCTTGGTGGCAATAGAGATGGGTCTGCAAATGTGCAACAATCTTTTAGTTTCCAGATCTGATGGTTCTGGAAACTTTCTGAAGTTTCCCTATAATTTTGTACGAGGAGTCGATAAGAAACTTTTTGCATCGCTGAGATTTTGTAACATTTCTAAAAATTTTTAGTCCTCTATAAGTCAGAAACAAAGGAAAATTTAAAATTTTTGTGTATTCTTTGATAGTACAATTAAGTAAGATAAATCTCTGTTTCTGTCAAAGACTCCTAAGCCTAAACCTTCTGCACAATTCAGAACAGGTTATTTTTCAAAGATATATTTTATTTACTATTTTTGTTCCAGGTGCCTACTAACCTAACTTTGGGCCTGCCATGTTGCCACATGCCAGACAACTTCTTCCTTTTTTTTCTACATCTTTCCCTGAAAATCTCCACTATCCTCACATATTGTTTGAAAAATGTCCACTAAATCTCCACCTAAACTAAAATGGTTCTAATTGGCATTAAACAGAATTTTTACATTTTCAGACCTTGAAATGTTGAGAAATGCAAAAAATTTGGAGTGTTTAGGATGTTAGTGTGAGTGTGGGGAGGCATGATTTTGTTCACCCTCTTTCAAGTTTAATAACTCTTGTGTATTTTGTCAAAAATTTTTTCAGAGAAGTTTGTGTATTGGGGGATTGATGTTATTTAATTTTGGTGGTTAAAAGTCAAGGGAGTGGGAAGATAGAAGGAGTTGTGTATCATATCTTGGGTAGAGTTGGATTTAATGACGACTTTACTTGTCATTAACATTTACAATTTTTTTTTTATAAAACTCATCTCTACCTTCAAAATTAAAATTTTGCCATTTTATAATAATTAAAAATATGAAAAGTTTTTAAAATAAAATATTAAAATAGATAGAACTACGTGCAGTTTTAAATGTTGCTGGATTTTTTTAAAGACCATAAAAATAAAATATATTATGATTTCTGCTTCTATAATTTTTACTTTTAATAGCATAAAATGAAGGTATTGTAATGTATAATAATGTGTTTATTTTTATCAAAATGATAAACATATTGATTTTTGTTATTTTTAGATGTTCAGATATTTTATATCATCAGATCAGCCAGATTCTAAACAGGGGAAGGATTTCAACAGTAACAGATTTGATGAAAAATCAATAAAGAAGAAAAATTTTAAAAAATTCAAATCTACAGAAAATGTTAATAAAAATAAATCAAGAATTGATATGTATCCAGGATCCAAACCAATTCCAAATCATTTAATAGAAAAGTATAAAAGAGGAAAATATATAGATATGGTAAATTTACTTAAATTTTTAAATTTATTATTAGTTTATTTTGTTTTATTATTAAGTCTAAAACATTTAAACACTAAAAGATATATAAGTTATACTTTTAATGTATGATTTTCATAACTTACAGTATATTCTGCAAAAGTTTGAAGAATATTGAAAGAAATAAAATCAAAGCACTGTTTAGTTTAATTTGTAATATGAATGTTAATATTATCTATACTATATAAGATATAAGTATTCTATATGCATACTGTAAGATGCAAACTAAGTAAGATATTATACTATATAAGATGCATACAAACCTAAAGTGATTAGTGCGGATGTAACTAAACATACACTATGCAGAAATTTGTTACTTGAAATCAGATTACTCACAACACAGTAAAGTTTGTGTAAGGTGAAAATTACTGTACTTATGTGTTCTAGTCAAAATGAAACAAAGAAGAAAAATAGGAAAGAACATAGTCTTCTTCCTTTAGTTGACTTTCAGATCTAGATCATTCTATGTTACAATATACTTTCTACAAATGTGTAGTAAATAATTTTATTGAAGAGTTATCTCACAATTGAAACCATCGTTGCCTTACGTGCATCCTAAAATGCATTTCAGCCCCTGGTGTTAAATGTCTCTCATCAGTTAGGTGATCATATATTTTATATAAGACAGTAAATATTTAACAATATTACAACTCACATAAACATCTATAAACCTCATAATATAATTAAAATAATAACCAATAAAATATTTAAATCACACGCTTAGCTGTCGACTGCTTTACAAATTACTCGGTTATCATTTTTAACACTATATTATACAATAGCAAATTATCTAACACATGCTTCGCAAATATTGCTGTAATAAAACATTGTGGCCCTATGTTCTTCTCATGCATCAATGGGCCATAATTATTTTTTCTAGATTATTCACTTTTAACATTTGAACATATTAAAAGTACCCCACTTAAAGCAATTGTACAGCTGATTAACCTAATAATTATAATATTTAGTTTTAATCATACTTTATCACCAGCTATCCATATAAAATTCTTTTACCTTTCCTAGCCGGAGAGGTATGCAAAACTAACACATTCATGTATTATCATGCATGTCATTAATGGGTATTGTTCCCTTAATTAATCCATGTACCAAGCCAATATCTATAAAGTCAGATTAGATCAATTAAATTAACACTAAATTCGATCTCATACAAAAATTATTATTAGTCACCTTTCACTTGTCTTTTCATTGTTTATTTTACATCATGCAAACTTCACTTATACCATGGCCCAGTGATTCTCAATCTTTTCAAAGTCGGGGAACACTAAACTTTGACATTTTTTTTCTGCAGAACACTTTCAATACATCAGCTTTAAAGCAGCTTTTGAAATCAAGTGTACTTGGTTTAGTAGATGACAACATTGGCATTTGCTGATTACATTCCAATAAAAACTTATTTTACATTGTATTGATTTTCTTTTGCAACAATTTTTAATTATATATTTGATTTTTTCATGGAACACTCGAAGTGGCTTCACAGAGCACACATATTCTGTGGACCATGGATTGAGAACCATGGCCTTAACCCATTAAACTGCACTAATTATTATTAGTATTATTTAATACCTAGATAGTTGTGCCACCTATTATTTATTCTTAGACCATTATTATCATTTATCATATTATTATTTTTGCTTTTTTTTATTATAGCTTTTTTAATTAAGAATTTTTATTAGCATTTTTAATTAAAGAAAATTATAATTTTTATAATTTTCTTTTGATTGTATTCTTTTTGTTCTTGATAATTTTTATAGTATTTTAATTAATTTTGCATCTGTATTTATTACAATGTTGATTGACTTTTGAAAAGATTCTATTATACTGTATAACTTTAATATTTTGTATTTGGGAATTTAATTGGCATTTAACTTCCCCTACGTAAATATTCAGATTTTTACAATTGCAACTGAATTTATAAACCACACCACTAAGTTCCCCTGTGTTATTATTTTCCTATCCTTTTTATTAATCCAAGATGTAATAGTATTAGTGTGTTTCAGAACTAATTGGATGTTATAATTTATCAATATCTTCTTCATTCTTTCAAAATGGCTTTTTATATATTGGAATTTTGAAATATTTGACATAATTTTTTCTCTGATTATTCCTTGGATTATTAGTTTGGGATTTTTAACCAATTTTTAATTCTTTTTAAGCTATGTATGGAAAAGACTACAGCTATTACGTAACAGAAAAGACCCCACCTAACCCTGACAGACTACCTGGCATTTATAGCATCCCTATCAGAGACAACAGATAGGATAGAGAAATGATGTACATTGGCTCTACTAAATGTTCAATGTGGGTCAGGATATGGGAACATAAATCTGATATACAGCATAGTAGGAGTACCACTCCACTTTCCACATATGCGACAGACCCTGATATTACAGCAGACTTTCCTGGAACTCAAATAATCCTTACTACTCCCACACCTGGAACACCTCAAGTGGTTAGAAGCAGTCAAGATTTTTAAGGCTTGCTGCAGATCCACGTGCATTAATTTTAGGGAGGAGATGTATCTTTCAATGGCATGGCAGGCTTTACTTGACAACGATATTTAATATTCGATACTATGAAAATCTGATTGTAAGATTAATTTAATTTTTCTAAATTTAAAACTCAATGAAATATTTCGTTGTTAAACTGTACATTTTTCCACTTTTTTACAATAAAAGTAGATATGAACAAGGAATTCAACTTTCTTTTTAATTGTCTACTTCCTAAAAGAGATGTCATCATTTCCCATGACAAACTTGTAGTAAAAAGACTCATTGTAAGATGACACAGTCCAAACTCCTCATTGGAGTAAATTTCTGAATATAAAGGTTTTGCATGTCTAGTTCCTAGTGAATTCGGCCATTCCAACCAGTTCTCCAAATCTTATGTTGTGTCATGTCTCCTCTGATTCACTGACTTGTGCCTTTAATAAAGAAGGAAAGTCTTCGATTATTTTAAGAGGTATTATATCAGTTTTATGTAAGCTCTCTCCTGTATTTAGAGGTGTATATAGTTAAGTGATATCTTGATAGATTATTCCTTCATGTATTTTAATTATTATTTATTGAACTTTTGTTGTTTCTGTTATTCTGTCTCTTCACTTAGTTGAATATGAATCCAAACACCTGTCGACTTACCCGTGACCCCATAATTTCCACTCGTAACTAATAACCCTCCTTTTAGTAAGAAACTACTATTGTGAGTTAGGATGCAATATTAAATAAATTTAATCCTAACTGGTGTCAGGTCCTGATATTAACGAGGATTTCACGATCCTCATGATAAATTAAATTAGCCATCCATAGACAAAGTGGGCAAGTTTTACCAACTTGCTATCGATAAGAGGTCAAACCAAAATCTTGACCTCCCGGTTCCTTACAATTATTTAAAGATGACACTGGGAATGCATTTGCATAAGTTCTCTTTATTTGAAATCTTCGTCTTACCATTTGATTTTATGTTTGAATTTTATATTCATGATTGATTTTGGAAGATCCAGATTATTTAGAATTAAGAAAAGCCTGAGGAAGAACCCAGAAGGGGTTACAAAGACATTTGTTATTCAAGAGTTAATTGTAATTTGTTCTGGTTATTGGTTGAAGTGAGTCTTATTTTATATTCATTCCAGTGTGGTATGCAGATGTGAATTATTTTATATGTCTTGGATTTATAATAATCCATTTATGCAATCTAGAATTTATGCATTTATGTAGTTGAAGTTCTGTTAAATTTAAAATCTGATTGGACAGTTTGGTATAACATGATCAGGAAAAAATCATTCAGACCATGTATTGAAATTCTGTAACATGCTTAAAAATTGACAAAAGAATGTTTTTCAACAATGAAGGTAAAATTATATTAAATGGCCATAATTTTTGTGCTATTTTGTTCATAAAAAAGAGCATAGTCCAGTGTGATATTTTATGCCTTTCTATTGTGTTGCTTAACATATTAATCCCTTTATATTTAATATTCTAAAAATCAAACTGTTTTTGGAAATTAATCAAAATTCTTGCAAATTTTTTGCTTAATATTGGATAAGCATAGCTCAGCAAGAATGCATATTCAAGATCTTTTAATTGCATTACTTAACGACAAACAGATAGTAAGCTAAGAAGCTAATTTGCATTCCAAAGTCTTATTCCAAGTTTTTATTCAGATATCATTACATTTAATGCCACATTTTTGCTCTTAGCAGAGATGGGCAGAGAACTAAAACCTTATATTTTGATAGAAGAAAAGATGCCCTTTCTAATGCAGCAAAAAAGAAAAAAATTTAAGATACCCACATTTGTCTCTTAATGTTAGTAAAAGTTGCCAACATTTTTTTGTATTTTTCAGTGAGCATATTTCTAAAACTATGACAGCTATAAGCTAGCTCACTCAGTGTTTTATGGGACATGGTAACTTTCAAAGCTACCTGTTCCACTTCAAAAAATGTGAAAATGGACACTGCATTACAGATACTGACAGCAAAGCAGATGTCAACCATTTCCTATTTCACTGCATCACTCATGAAATCATTCGTGAAAACTTCCAGATGAGGTGCCTACTGGCAGGTTTCAACTGGCCTTCTGAAAATGTTGACCTATTTTCTAATAAAGCTTTATACAATACATTGAAGGATTATATCAATAAAACTCATGTTCTGGCACCACAACTATTAGTTCATCACCTCAGGTAGATGTTTGGAAAATTGGAAGCACCGGTAATCAACTACAGGAAACAGATGAAAGTGAAGAATAGTATTCAGATTCATACTCTGACTTTCTGTGTTAAAACGTTCATGCAGTGCATGTTTCCAACACTGGATAATAGGTTTATAGCATGATTTATTTGTCATATAGTATAAAGTATTGTTTTTCATCTCACTGGTAAAAGTGAGAAATTCTAGCATATTTATCAAATTTACCAATTTTATTTTAGAATTATGTAAGATTGACAATAAAAGTGAGAAATTTAGTGAAATTTATCAAACTCACCATGATGATTGGTGGTTGATTATGCATAATCACCAATCATCTTGTTAATTACTTTTACTGTAATATATATATTTTATTTATTTACAGTTTTTTCATTTTTATTTTTATTATTAAATTTGTACATTGTTTTATGTATTTCCTTATTTAAATTAACTTGAAATCCACTACATTTAAACATTTTCAAATACTGGTGTTTCTTTATTGGATTTTAATGTTTAAATTTAAAGCTGATGAAGAGCTCTAAACTAGCTTGAAAATGCTAGTTTAGTAAGTGTTTTATGCTGTATATTCGAAAAGATTGAGTAATTAGTATTTTAAATACATTCAGTTGCCAATTTTTTATTAACTTTATTAAAACTACCAGATGATGCTAAAGCTGGGATTAGATATAAAACTGAAATGGATACAGAAATTTATTTGAAGTTTTATTTGAATTTTCAGTCTGGAATCAAAACAAAATCTAATCGAAAGATTCTTAAAAAAGAAGAAAATAAGAAAAAGTTCTGCATTGAACAGTCAGCTAAAACTGAACTGTTACTTCCAGAAGAAAGTGGGTAAGTGATATTATTATTTAAAAAAGTTTAATATAATCTCTAAAGCACATATGATTAAATTGGATTGTTTAAAGAAATGAAAATATCACGTAGTGAGTGACATTTTTTCTAAGTAAAATATGATTATTGTGATATTGGACCTCAAAGCTTCAAATATTTGGGTCACAGAATTTTTCTCAGTTGCTACCATGATCATTTGAACTTAAGATGGTTCACAGTAATCTATTAACCTTACTATAATGTGTTGTATTTTTTAGCAGCCATGTTTAGTTATGTCTAAATGTGATTCTCTTCAAGCTATTTCAACACAAATAAATTGCGATACTAAGCCACCTGAAAAATAACGACCAGGATTTTGTCAATTATTACAAGAATTTTGGTTGAGTTTTTTTATTTTATTATACAGTGTTACCTCATACTTCAAACAACTCTAACTTTGAATGCTTCTGGGTTTGAATGCCAAATTCGACAAAAATTTACTTTGATATTTGAATGATACTTCAAAGTTTGAACTGCATGTGGAATGAAAAATGAAATTGAAGTGTAAAATAAGTCTCTGAACAAAATATAATCTCAAATTAACAATAATGTGTTAAAATTTAAAACTATTATAATTAAATCAACTGTCTATGTTAAGGAATGACAAATGTTAAAAATACATAAAAACTATATGTGACAATGCCGAAGGCCCCCTCTATTCTTTGGCACCATGGGACCAAAGGGTCGACATCGTGTCAGTGAAGAGTGCAATGACAAAGTCATCAGAACTGACACCACCGTGTCTTCTGGGTAGACACAGAGACCGTTACATTCGCAGGTATACACGAGCAGTCGCATCTGTGGAAGCTTAGGGTTGGAATGTATATGGAGGGAGACACCCAGAAGAAGTGCACTTCAAAAGGCTATTCATTTAACAAATACCCATTTATTCAGAGAGGCTATTTACAGGATTTATGACTGAGGATCTAGCTTTTTCGCTAACTCGAGTAACCATCAAGGGAGAAGCTTATCATATGGAGAGAGAGAGAGAGAGAGAGAGCTTATAAAACTTTTGCATGACAACAAATACCCGGAGTTTGAGTAAGTCCTTGATGTAGGTTTGTCCTTAGGCTCGTCCAAAAAGGAATTTCGGAAATTTAAGTTCGGAAGTTCAGAATTTAATTGAGTTCAGGTGCTAGTTCAAGTTCAGTTAAGTTCAGGTGTTAATCCAAAAGTGGATCTAGGAAGCAGCGATGGTGGAGAGGCCTCAAACATACATAAAAGTTCACACTTGCTGATGGGAAAAGCTTCTGTCATCATTGTCCCCTCCTGTTTATAAGGGGGGTCTCCTAGGTTTTTCCCATTACTCTACCTGGAGTTTTAGTACATTGGGCCCAATGATCGAGTTTCACTCGTTACTTCTGAGTGATGCATATGAAGTGTCACTTTAAACAAGAAACTAAGTCCATAAAAAACATTTTAATTGCTGAGTTGATCAACAATTTTTCGAAATTAAAATTATCTTATTTCGAACAACAAACATGTTATAATAATTTATAATGATTTTATAATAAAGGTTTCCTGTAAATGCAGTTCTCACATATATATCAACCAAAACCAAATATTATCGGGCTAGAAACGGCTATAATACTAATAATTTAATAGAAAATTTGGCATTAGAGTTAGGCATTAGGTGCCATTTCTTCATAAATTTAATAATTATAATTTAATTAAATTTAAATAATAATTTTAGAATTACTGGAAGAAAATAATCGGCCCGAAGTGGGACTCAAACCAACAACTTCTGCTTATCATGAAGATGTGTTGCCAATTACGCTATCCTGACCTTCAGTCCAATCTCCTCTTCCAGCATATATAAGCTAACGATATAACCATCGATGGTTGTTACAATGCTGGCTGGGAATGCATTCAGCACCCACGATGTGCAAACAACTCCCAAGGCATTCAACCAGCCATCGTAAACCTTGGCAAGACATATATAAATAATCAAACATCCTTACTACACCTGATATGTTTTAAAGCTATACATCAACCAAAGCCAAATATTATCGGGCCAATATATTAGTATTATAGCCATTTCTAGTCCAATAATATTTGGCTTTGGTTGATGTATAGCTTTAAAACATATCGGTTGTAGTAAGGATGTTTGATTAAACATAAAAACTTTCTGTTCAACCTAATATAACCTTTACTTGTTAACCACTGTATCTGAGAAGTGTGCAGAAGCAACAGTCTAACTAGTAAGAAAAATGGTAAGATGAAAAAGGAACTTATTGGAAGCATGAAAGTGGTACATGTGGCAGATCTGGCAGCTGTGTTTAAGATACCAAAGTTGATGGTGTGCATTCAGTAAATGCAATTTTCATTTTATTATATATTATTTACATATTTTATTTATTGTTTTTATGCTTTAATTTATTATTAGAGAATTTAATTGTGTTATTTTTGTCTTAAATTATATGTATTCCTGTTTTAAGTATATTGAAATGGGTATTGTTTATAAACAAACAACAATATTACAACCTGATACATTATAAACTATAAGTCAACTAATGCTGTAAGTTATTGGGTATTAATTGGCTTGTAGTTTACAGGACATGGGCACTAGATACATTCCTAGCCAGCACTGTAATAACTGTCAATGGTTGTAATATAATGTTATATATACTGGAAGAGGAGTAGCATAATTGGCAATGCGTCTGCATGGTAAGCAGGTGATGCAGGTTCAAGTTCCACTCCAGGCTAATTCTTTTCTTCCAGTAGTCTAAATTATTTAATTAAAAATTATAATTATTAAATTTATTAAGAGATGGCACCTAACATCTTCCTCTAGTATCAAATTGTATCATAATTTAGAAGTATGTTAGCTGATATGTATCCTGATAACTTATGGCATTAGTCGGCTTGTAGGGTATTATTTAGGGTCTGAGAATGAATTAAGTCACATTCCATTATTTCTAATGGGAAAATTGCTTGGACTTCAAATGATTCAGAGTTTGAATGGTCTCGAATGAATTAAATTCAAAATATGAGACACCACTGTATTATTATTATTGTTGTTGTGTTTATTGGGTTATACTCGGTACACACCGGTGGCTGTGTACTATGCCGGACCAGAGTCAAGGCATAGCAACCAAAACAAAACTAAAATTAAATGGGTGTGTCAGTGTCAGTGTCTGTATTAAGGAATTTCCTAACAGTATGGCATGTATTCAATATAGTGGCCTTCTGTAGTGTGATGTACAGTAGATCCCCCTATAAGACGGTAGATACGTTCCGTTCTTTATGAATCAATTTTGTAGGAATCATAGTTTACGGACTACGGCTGTTTGAAAGGTTTTCTTTCATAAAATTAATCGATTTTAGACTAATTCGACTCAACATTTCCAAAATACGTATATTTTTTTGAAAATAATCC